TTCTTCAACACACCACTTCGACCCTTACTTTACCTAGACGGATGGTAGAATTAGACTGGTTCTATGAATCGGCCGGTCGCGCCAAGCCCTGTGCATAGTGAGTATTTTTGCACATTGAACTTATTATCGGGTATTGGGCATCTCGATTTCTAGTGTATAAATTATTGATTATATTACATTGCCTAAAGTCCTATGTAAGAAGGCGGTGGCTCATGGCCAATCTGGTGATTTTGAAATCTGAATAATGTATGTCTCCAATTTCTTGCCATGGGCCGAACCAGTCTGGTATTAAATTGGTAGACAAATGTAGCTATTCACGTCGTGTTCACTTGAGTATATCCCTAATATATCTCGGATATCCGGTGCAAATTGACACTGTCCATATTGACACTCAATGGTTGGTGAGGAGCATGGGTGCTGAATCTATATTCTTTTCATTATGACAACAGAACTACCTGGTTGATCAAGAAATAATAAAAGAGACTAATCGACAATGCCGACGAATCTTTGAGAACTGTTTCCTCCAATGCTGATTCCTTGTGATTGAGGCAACTGATTTTCTGCCGATAAAACTAAATCCTTTTGCTGTTTCGAAGGCTGTTTGGAATTTGTGGGAACGTCTCCCGTCTCCGTAGTGGTTCACTCCTGGTGGAATGTGCACGGAGACACATAACGTTAAAATCCAGTCGTGGTACGATTCGTGATAGAGTTCGTTGATTGACATGTCTGAGGAGGACATTGCTACAGAGCGTCATGATCAGAATGTAACAGCAGTAAAACCTTTCACCGTCAAAAAAGAGGGTATAATAGTGAAAACAAACACGTATCGCTTGACGTTTGCTTGTGCTTCCCTGCCGCAGTCAATTAAAGGTGTATGTTTTAATATCGGAGTAGACGTGTATGTCCCCAGCCCATTCCGGTGTTACAAATGCCAACAATTCGGTCATGGATCAACTCCTATTGTGTCTCTGTGATATGTCATCGATGTGGTGGGAACCACGAAAATCTACAGATACTCGTGACTGGAATTAGTACTCAATTTTATAAATGAAGGTCTGATGTGGCAAATGTATTGCACGTTATGAAATGTGCGCAGGGAAGTGCAGCGAGAGGAATTATCAGCTGAGTTGAAAAAACAAACATCGATCCAAGGAATAACCCAAAACATGCCGAATTATTAATTACTTTTATCTTGCACAGCGGATTTGTCAAAAAGGTATTGTTTATGTATGTAGATTTACACTGAATACACCTACATTCTGTGGTAAAGTGGCTGTGTAAAAACACCGCCCTGCCTTCAATGAATGAACCACCAATACGTTGATTGATTGCTCGTTGTTGTCTAACTAAATATTTGTTTAAAGAATGGTGGAAATCATGCAAATAGCTGTCAGGTGTGCTATTTTGGGTGAGCAATGACACTATACATGAATGTGATAAAATGAGAAACTATCACTAGTTATAACGTTATATACATTTCTTGCATATGAGACTATTGGAAAACACATGACACTGAACAGGATACTTTGTCAGCTGCAGATGAATGGCATATCGTTCTTTTGTGTGGATTTTGATGGATACAATCCTCCAGCAAGGTAATGGCCTGACATTATTGCTGTAACTTTAGTCGGTTTTAATTTTAATATTTGAATTTTATTTGTTCATTTGTTGTAGCATTCAGGTGAATCATTCCACTTCATTTATGTGGCCGTGAATTTCGATGAGACAGACAACATACACTAAGACGCACTTAGGGCGTGTGTGTGAAATATGATTCACGTTGGCAATCTATAAAATATGTCTAGATATATAACTTCATATTTACACTTATGCATAACACTTCACTATATTTATAACTTCACTGACAACAGTAGGTTAGACCTACTTGGGTTGTAAGTCCAGATTTGAAGGGGTAATCATGCGCCGATGTATTGGCCACACAAGATATACACATCATGATGAATATTTATTGAAAGGTGAGGATCCTTCATTTTGCATCCTTTGTGATGAAAGAATCGCGGTCAAGCATGTCCTGATATTTCCATCACAAAGGATAACCATTGCGGTGCATAAACAGTTAAAGATCTCTTTGGTAATGTTAATTATCATTTAATTGTAGATTTTTTAAAAGAAATATAATTCTTTGATTTTTTTTATTAATATGCATTATGGATAGATTATTTTTTTATGATTTGAAGTTTAAATTAGTAGCTGAAATTGTTAGTGGCTGTATCCTCAAAGGGGGTTAAAGTTTTGTAAAATTATTGTCCTCCTGAGAGGGTACCTAATTCCCAAATCTTTCAAAGTTAAATTTAAGCTCGCCAGATTTGTAAGCGTATTAGTTTTGTTCTTTTAAATTTCGGCTTAATGTTTCCTACAATCGACAGAGACTGAAGGGATGGTGTAAATCTATGTAGGGTCCATGCAGGTAGCAAAAGCACTGTAAGTCCCCGTGGTCCCTTCTATGGTGATCAACCGTCAGTTGTTGGCGATCTTTAGCCTAGTTTTATATTGTGTTGTCCTCTATAGCTAAAATGTTTTAGATTTAATTACTGGTTTCTGTCAGTGATAATCTAGTTATTTTACTGTCCTTCGTCGACCGTTTTATTGTAATTTAATTCCATTTATTATCAATTTATAAATTTTCGAGTCACGATATGGCTGAAATATTGCCGATGTGACTATAAATTCTTAACTCACTCACCCACTCTTTGAGTTTAATGGTGCTTTACAGGCTCCACCATTGAACGGATTAGTGATCTATAAATGTGAACCACTGCTCACTTGGAACTTATTTTTTATAGATGTTGGGTCTTGATATTTAATATACTGAACATCATTGAAAACGCAGCAGTCTAAAATTGTATATATTTTCATCAAGATGGATTTCAGCATGACAATGATCAATGAATATAATTAACATGAAGTCGAAGGGCATGTCCAGTTGCACAAATGCCTTAGAAACAAATGCCTGTCCACAGTATGACTCTTAATTCCAAAATGCATCAACATGCAGCCACGCCATGAACAAAGCGGGAATGTTATTCTGAAATCATACTGACTGTGACATTAAAAGCAGGTGTATGAGAACCGATTTTCATTGCTTCACTAACGATTGTTAAACGAGGACAGAGATGCCGAGGTTAACACCTCACGAAAGAGAACGTGCACTAGGCATGACTCAGGTTGGCACCAGCAGCAGGTATATTGCTCTACAACTTGGACTTGGCCACTCCACCATCGTTAGGCTTCATAGACGACATCAGTAGACAGGCAGCACCCGTGATCTTCAATGACCTTGGCAACAACGTGTTACGACGCTGAATCAGGATCGCCATATTGACCTTGTCCATATCAGTGATTGAACACTGCCGACTGCCAGGACTGCTGCCCTAGTTCAAGGTTGACTTTGGGGTCATCAGCGCTGACCCCATGCGACGCCGTCTACATGCTACAGGGCTCCATGCTCGACGTCCTTACGTTGGACCAATTCTGTCTGACAGACACCGTAATGAGCGTATACTATGGGCTAGCAGGCATTTTCAGTAAAAATTAGAACAAGGGCATGGTGTGGTAGTCACTGACGAGTCACGTCTTCATCTACGTAATGCTGACGGCCGATTACGTGTTTGGCGTAGACGTGGTGAACGTTATGCTGATGCGGCGACAACAGATGCGAAACATCCGGGAGGCTGCACTACTGCAGAAGTGGAATGCCATCCTCAATAACTGTATTCGGACGCTTATTGACTCAATGAGGAGACGTTGAACTGCATGTGTCAATGCAAATGGCGCTCACACGCGATATTGACTTTTCGATTTGACCCCACGTGTGTTTGATCCTTTCTGACTGTGGAACACTTCAATGAATTAGCGTCCTTTCTGTGTTGTTGTTTTTGTCAGTCGTCCATCTGTTATTATCCACTCAAAAAATATCAATTCCTTACATGTGCTTTTAACAATCTGAACTTTTATAAGTGGTGCGTTTTCAATGATGTTCAGTATATAACTGACATTGTCACTGAACAAGAATCAGGTAAATGTTTTAGTAACTGGTAATGGATATTATCAGAATCTGTAGAAGTATCATAATGTATGACGAGGACTAATAACATGTCACCATCCTTAAGATGGTGAACACAAGAACCTTTACGTCTTTTACAACCATTCCTAACCATATTCCTGGACTTAAATAAATGTATTTCAGTAAGTTAAGTTCTGTTTGAATGTATGACAGACTTTTGCATTTAAACTTTTAACTTTATTTAAGTTGTGGACAGAGGTAGGTAACAGATGTTTGTCTGCCGTTTCCCCAGTTTAACAGCTTGTTTAACCATGACTTTCTTATGTGTAGATTTGTAGATGACTTTGGTTTAAATTCATCAGCTATTTTGATTAAACATGAAAATAAGCTTGAATAGGATCAGCAACATTTTGAAAGACTGGGATTTATTCTATTTAGTAGAAGGTGGAGTATCAAGGTGGAGTATGAATTTATGGTTGTAAGGATAGTTGGGAAATAGGCACTTCTACAAAGGGCTTTATAAGCTGACCAATCGTATTCATTACAACTATTGGACCTAACAAAAGACCACAGGAGTTCAAAAAGGAGTATAGATATTTATGATCAAAATTAATTCACGTACTACCAATGCACACCATATTAATAATGTCGCAAACCTCACACTTGGTAATGCTTTTCATACACATTCTATATGGGGCGACAACTCGATACATGTTTATATTGAAAACTGTCGGGTTGTCGCCCTTTTGTAGAGTTAGAAATTTTAATCAAAGTTCAACAATGCGACGGGGATTACAATGCGACAGATCGCGGTTTGGTTAATTTGGACACTTTTTGCTTGTTTCTGTAAGGGCGACAATGCGACAGCACGCCAATGCCCCTTCTAGGATTCCATACTATTTTGCTATTCGCTGTTTGAGCTTTACGATAAGCCCGTGCACAATGAAACCATGCACTGCTTGTTGCCCAAGACAGACACATGTGTGACAGCAAACAGTGAGCATCTATCTATGGACACATGGACGTCATATAGATGCTGGTAACTCTGGTTGGTTATACACTACTCTATAGGTCACAATTAAGACATTATTTCGAAAATGGCGACATTGTTGTTGATATTCATTGTTTCAACACTGGGTATCGACTCTGCACGTGGAGCGTGTGTGGCGGACTGTGACTGGAGTGTGGGAGAGTGGGGAGAATGCAGTAGATCTTGTGGTGGAGGGTACCAGACCAGGAACCGAACACGTTGTTGTCATGACAACGAGTCCACGAAAACATGCCAGGAACGATGTCAGAGCAAGTCCGTTGGCGATGTCCCTGAAACCTACAGAACGTGCAACAAGTTTTGCTTCAATGGAGGGAGGTTTGATGAAGACACAGGTCTGTGTAGGTGCAGACAGGGATGGACAAGCACCTGCTGCCAAGCAGGTAAGGAAAATATTTTACATTGTTCAAGTCATTTTAAAAACCTAAGGATATTTCCATCATTTGCTTATGAATGTTATTGATCAGTATGTTAATTACATGAGGTGTGGAATACAGACACCAGAGACTACATCTTCTTGAATACTGATCAGCAGCAAAGACTGTTCGAAAGTTGAATTCAGCTGCCTTGTCGTAAATCTTGTGGGTAGTGTTTTGTCACACGGAATATTTTTGTACAGATATAAACATGAAAGATATTTTGACTTGACCTTTGAAAATCAGAATGATAATTGAGTGTTACTGAATGATATCAGTTGTCGTCCTTTGCCAAACTAATGTTTTGATTTTGCAAAACCGAGATGAAATTCTCCCTCGTATGGTTGGCGTATAATAATAAGTGTTGTTTTAACAAAAATGATAGGAAGACTGCAGAAACAGAAATATGTAAATAATAAAAAAAATGATAGATGTCGAGGCCTGCAAGCAACGTTGTCGAAAATTTAATGCCAGCGCCTTTGGATATCAACAATTCAATCAAATTCGGGAAAACATTCTTTTACATGTTTGCAACTTAAGAAAATGATTACTCTGCTTATGAAAGTCAGTCACCTCATAATATTTCATAACTGTCAAAATAAGTTTGGAATGCTTTTCTTTATACGATTCTTTCCCACGGAATGGAAATTTAGGATTCTTTCAATGTTCTTTAACAGAGCTTTAGTGTGTATTTATTATTATGTTTCAACGCAGAGAACATTAGAAAAAACGTACTTTTGTTTGTTACAATTTTTAGATAAGAATTAAGTCACACTATAAGCCTCAGTAACAGAACATACTAGAACAGAACTTTATTACACTGAGGCAAAGGACCTCGGCATATGATGTACCAACACACACAACATAATGAAGCCGACAAAGGACTTTAGCAATTTTCATGATGATTTCAGTATATTTATACTAAGGTTTCTTTTAACAGTGATTCTTGAAGAGTTAAAGAGCATATTTGGTTGATTCCTATATTTACACGGGATATACAATTTACGAGCATCGTTAAACTACGTACATTATTAACACAATGGTATTTATCACCAATGTCGTTCATTTGACACGATTTCCAAATATGATCACTAATTGGAGTGCTGTTCCATCTCCCTGTTTCATTTGGCAAGCGGCGACGCGGTGTGTTCGAGGGAAGAATATCTTAGGCGCTGAAAGGAAAGGAACATAAACAACCTCGCCCTGTTTTATTTATATACATGTTTCACAGGTTTGTTGTCAATACCAGATCAACCTGTTTAAGTCACATGGTGTACGTCACAAGCCTCAATGAACAACGCGTGCATGTGAAAACATGAGGTATACTAGCCAAAAGGAAACTGTGAGCATAGGAAATTGACTATATATTAGAACTACAAGTGTACAGAAATACGGACGTAAATGCAGTAATTAGTGAAACGAATTGAAAATATGCATGTGCTCCTTTTCTTGAATGTGTGGTTTCGGCACGGACAGGTGCAACACGTTTGTGCATGTGCATTTCGATAAACGAGAAAGTCTCAAAGTCAGGTGGCTGCGCATTTCCATTGCGATCGAAACACCATTTCAGCAATACAAAGACATCATCAGAACAGTAATGAAATTACCGATCGGTCAAGTGGAGGACGTTCTCGAGTCACAACGCCTAGACTGGACAGAAAGATGCGGGTAACTCATCTCCGGTAGAAATTCCAGACTGAACTGACCTTTTCTCAGACCATTCCAGCCTATCCACCCCAACACGTCAGTACGGGATACGACCACGTCGTCCCGTCATGCGACCTACCTTTTCATCCGTCAACCTCGGTTGTGGTGAAGGACTGTCGTTTCCACAGACGTATCCAGATGTAGCACATTCAGTAATGACCCACGTCTGCGTGTTTACAAATGTGTGTTATGGGTGTGCTACTGTGTGGGGAGGAATATGTGGGCAGGAGAGAAAACTACCTGTTATCGTATTTTTCGCCCAATTTTCCAGCGAGCTTGAGGTGACGGGATCGAGCCCACCTGTGACCGGTTGTAAAACCTTGGAGTCAACTTTGTGTGCAGACTCTTTCGGTGTTGTCACAACCCCTAGTGTACAGTACACAACCCCGTGCGCTTAAAAGAACCCACGAATCCGTTGGTAGATGACCAGATGATGGCCACATGAATACGTGCAAACACCTAGTTGCGGGTACAGCAACGTTCAGTGAACTTGGACAAAGTACTGTGACTATGTGTTCCAGTCCACCCAGCTGTGAATGGGTACCTTGTAAGGATGGGAACGCCACACTAACCCGGTGCGCCTAGTGGCTGCTAGAATTGTATGATCCCCATGGAGTTGAGATTGATAATACGACGTTGAGATTGACATCCAGTGATCGAGGGAAAAACAAAGAGTCTTTGAGCAGCTGATCTGGATATTGGCGCTATACAAATGGATAGATGGATGGATGGATGCATGCATGCATGCATGTATCTATGTATGTATGTATGTCACGAATTTTCAACGTATAGCTGTGGCCTTCTTGAACAAAAGACATGTCCCATATAGAATACTCTAGGATGTCGTGGATCGTTGTGTTCGAGAGCATCACCCGAGGCCCACATGACACGTTCGAAATGTGCGTGTCATGGGACCGTCAAATTGGAATTTCTTTGATAGGTCAAGAAACAAGAAAAGCCTTTCAAAAGGCAACGTTGGAGGCACCTGAGTAAATTCAGAAATTTAGCGAGAAGGACATGCGATCATTTGAGGGGTGAAGCTGATTTCACGATGAACATACCTCCGTCTAGTGGAGAGTTGCTTTTATTAGAGATCGTTACTCGCATCGCAAATACGGTACTCCAGTATATGACATTTCATATCAAAGGTCTATTCATGTCCTCTTGAGGATACAGCCACTAATAATCTCGGTTACTAACTTATTCTACCGATTATGAATTGTCATTGATTTACAATACATATTCATCGAAATTGTTCAATATATTCTATTTCTTTCAAACATGCAATGATGAAATGAAAATTGACATTAGTAAAAAGGTCCCTCGATAAAGCTTTGAAATATTTATCCCTTTTGATGGAAAAAGCAATACAGTCAAGCAGGACATAGTTGACTGTGATTCTTTCATCACAAGGGATACAGAATTCAGCATCCTCATCGTTTCGTAAATATCCACGAGCATATCGTGAATGGCCAATACGACATCATCTTAATATAACCTCTTCAATGTGTTTTGAATCACTATTTAAAAATGTGATGATACCCGGTGTTCGTGAAGAGGTTTAGCATGCCCTGCCAGACCAGTAACACCCGCCATCTAGTCGCCAAATTTGCCTCAACATGAAAGTAGTTTTTGCCTGACGCTGCACAGCAGTTCCTCCATACGACGGCGGCCTGTACGACAGGAGCTGTGCCAGTTTACACTTATCAGAAGTCAACACAAATTCCGTGGTCTAGACTACCATTTTTCTGGAAGCTACAGTGGCTGAGTGGGTTAGATGGCTGACTTTGTGTGCCTGACTCTGACACTGTGGGTTCGAATCTCGGATGGGTCTCAACCCAACAAAGTTACTAGAATCTGTGCTTTACTGAGAAAGTGTGATTCCAAATATAACCTGTGGCGTGAGGACTATCCCGTATCCGGTTTGTCAAAAAAGCAAATACGTATGCCGATCTGACATATACTGCAACGCCAAGGAATAAACCATTTAACAAAATAGAGTGCATCAGGCAAACTGGTCATGAACCACTGAGGGAGCAGGCTTTAAATCCCTCGGGTGAAGGCGCAATCATCATTACACATTCGCTTATCAACTAATACTTACGTATCAGGGACATCAGTATCAATCAGTATCAATTTCAACAGTTCTGAACAAATTCAAAATAGTACAAACAAATCTCCATAAAAATATTTGAAGTCATTGATAACCTTGTTATTGTGCACTTTGGTTTTATTGTATATATCACCCACCTATAACTCACTGTATATCACTACCCGTGAAGGTCCGGGTTAGAATGAATCTTCAGTAACCAATGCTTGTCGTAAGAGGCGACTAACGGGATCGGGTGGTCAGACTCGCAGGGTTGGTTGACACATGTCATCGGTTCCCAATTGCAAAGTTCGATGCTCATGCTGTTGATCACTGGATTGTCTGGTCCATATTGATTATTTACAGACTGCCGCCATGTAGCTGGAATATTGCTGAGTGCGGCGTAAAACTACACTCACACACTTACTCACTGTATATCACTGTCAGTTTTCATTCACACAAACCAGTCCGTGCCATGCATTATCTGAAAAGCTTAACAGATACCGTTGGCATATATTTTTAGTTTTACGCTCGATTTTAAATACAACTGAAAACAAAACGCCTAAAACGCCTAACTCCAACTTCTTACTCCATCGAGCAAAACTCAACGAAAAGCTATATCATAAAAATGTTGTTCATAATAATCAGCAGGCACAATGACATATGAATAATTATTGATTAATAAGAGGGTTAATTATGTTGCTGATATATTACAACTAAATGAAATCAATGGCTGACAAGTTTCTGTTGTTTATTAAGCTGCGGATGCTGGTGGATACAACTGTGAAGAAATGCCCAATGTATCATCCACTGACTACATTGTAAGTATTAAACGTTCACATTTAGCTGTGTCTTTTCCATAAATTATGCCTGTAACAAACTCAAGATTGAAACAACGTTGTTCATAAAATCTGAACCTACTTTAAGTATGTGACAACCCGTACTCCAGAAAGCTATGCCCACAAAATGTAGTTGTTATGGTAACATATAAACCTAAAGTGTGCTTCTCACTATATGTTAAGAATCTCTTCTTTTCCCGGAATAACCGCATTTGAGGTTTTTGTTTGCTCTCAGGTTTTACTTTTGTAAGTAAGACCTCTTCCCAGATTTTACTTTTGCAAGTAAGACCTCGTCCCAGGTTTTACGTTTTGTAAGTAAAATTTCTTCCCAGGTTGTATTTTTCCTAACCCTATATCAACATCAACATTCAAATGATATATGAGTGTTTGAAATCAATTGAGAAATATCGTCCAAGATCAATTTCAAAGTGCAAATGTTTTCCCAAGCAGGATTAGAACCGCATCTATCAGGTTAATAAGCGGACGCTCTACCTCACGGCCACCGAGCCGACGAAGACGTTGGGGTTGAATTATCTATTTATAGTTACTGTCATTAAATTGATTTTACTTGCGCTTCAGTTATTGTTATGTAGCTTCATTAAATGATCATCTACATTATAATTATCCATCATTGACGGTTTATATGTTAGGAAAACACTTCCCCTCGGTTTTGGTAGAGAATGTAAAACCTTGGGATTTCCCTCCTCCCTGGGTTTTACATTCTCTACCAACACCCCGGGGAGTGTTTCTCCTATACATAGTAATCAAGGTGGATATTCCAATATCTACCAAATTCATGGGTTTTAATACTGAAGTATGCTTTTTCAGAATCAGAACCAACAGCACCATGAGATTTTCCCCGAGGACTTTACCGGATACAGATTTTTGGTGCTGACGAGAAGTAATGATAACACAAGCTGTAGTGTGAGTGTTGTTTATGTATAAAGATTGAGTCGATAGACGTATAACTATTAGTGGAGAGTGAGGGCACAACCTACAGGACATGTCCTGTTATATCAGTATTACACTATTTTTTAGAAAATACCTTCTTTGTTGCAGCTGCTGCGAATGTACATTGAGGGAGATAGAGGGTCAGCATCTGGGATATGTCTTCATCCCTCTAGGCCAGCCTTGTGGATGCCTTGGAAAACTGGAGATGACATTACAGCACAGATAGGAAATATCAAATTGATATTTTTCGAGGTAATTATAACCAACTATATGTTTCCTGTTTAACATATAACCCATCTCATATCGGTGCAACTCACAACCCTGCAATTGTCATGTATTAATTTGTTGTCTTCTATGTAACACATAGAACTTAATACTTCTGTCTGGCACTTAAAGTTTATATGATATTTCGGGCAGCAATTTCGTACTTGTTCTGCACTTAAAATAGTCATAGTTACAGATCGTGCCATTTCTCTCTTCCTTTTTATCCTGCCGACATATAATGAAGGGGGTATCATCAACGCCTCGTATGTCTGTCCGTCCGACTGTCCGTAATCATTTCGTTTCCAGAGCAAAACTCAACAAAACTTGGCAAAAATATCCAAAAGACCCTGAAGTGGTGCCTTTTGCTACGTGCCCATTTTGGCTTTTTGGTTTGTTTTTTTCTTGATTTATATGGAAACAATATGGTTTCAAAAGGAGTGGTGGATTTCGTTTCCGAAGCACAACTTGAAAACCATGATAGATTTTTCACGGTGCCTTGTGATACTCGGTTTGCTAAAAACTTATGTTTTGTCCGTTTCCATGGCTGAAAGTTTGATTTTAACTGTTCATAGTGTTAGGTTTGTCAGAAAGAGTACTGGAGATTCTTTCATGAAACTGTGCACAAACAAAAACCAGGTTGTAAACTTTTGGTATTAGTGATTATGTTAATTTGTATTGTTCTTTTGAGTGAGTGAGAAATTTAACGTCACCTCGGCAGTATTTCATCCATATAGTGACGAGTGAGTGAGTGAGTATGGTTTAACGCCGCTTTTAGCAATGTTCCAGCAATATCACGGCGAGGGACATCAGAAATGGGCTTCACATTTGTACCCATGTGGGGAATCGAACCCGGGTCTTCGGCGTGAAGAGCCAACGCTTTAACCACTAGGCTACCCCATCTAACCATATATATATATAGTGACGAGGAAGGTTTTTCATACACAATAAATATACGTTGTTAAATAATCAGTCATCGAAGGACTGTAAGATTACTAGAGTATCACAGATGGAGTCTAAAACTAGCATGGAAATCTAAAACTATTTTATTTACGAAGACACTACAATGTAAAAACAGGCTATAGATCGCCAACAACCGAAGGTGGATCACTAGACTAGAGACCAGGGGACTTACAGTGCTTTTGCTACAGGCATGGACCCTAGTTGGATTTACACCATCCCTTTAGCCACTGGTGACTGTAGAAAAAGTTTAGCCAAAGTTTAAAAGAGCAAAACTACTACGTTTAAAATTTGGTAAGTTTAAATTGAACAATTGTTCCTTTGACTTGACATTGGTGCGTACCTAACATAAAAGTACAAAATTACGAAACCCCTTACAATGTTATTGTTTTGATAGCTCAATTGCCCCTAGTATGGTGATCTTCCTTCAGTTTTTTGCGATCAATAGCCCAATTTTACGTTGTATTGTCCAAAAATAGTTTTCTACTTTTAAAGATATATGGTAGCTATACTGAGTCAAAAAAAGAAACTTCACATTCTTCTTCAGGGCACTATAAAAGAACAAGAGATGGTAAGATGGTTAAATTGTTATGAATTCATTGCTGAGATCTGTGTGATGTACTCGATACACTGACAGTGCCATAATCACCTCCATTAGGCTACACCGCCGTTCCAAAACATGGGTAAACAGAATGTCAAGTCACAAGAATAAAAATGCGAAATTTCTCAGTTCAATATCGTGTATGGCCGCCCCGCGCATTCACCACTGCCAAACACCGTCTCCTCATCGACTGCCTGATGCTTGTGAACACGTGGTTGGGGATTCTGCGCCATTGCTCTTGCAAGGCAGCGCCAAGTTCCTGCAAATTCTGAGGTTGGTTCCTAAGACCACGAAGCCTTCTCCCAAGTGCATCCCAAACGTGCTCTATTGGATTAAGGTCAAGGGACCTCGATGGCCAGTCCATGACGTTGATTCCAGCGTTTTGAAGGAAATTTCGTGTCAACATCGCGGTATGCGGCCGAGCATTATCATGCTGGAACTGTAGACCTGGGCCATGAGCCGCCATGAAAGGAACGAGTTCAGGGGTGAGCACCTGGTCACGGTAAGCAGCAGCTGTGAGGTTTCCACGGATGACCAGAAGTCGGGAACGGTTGTTCCCACAGAAAGCACCCCACACCATGCAACTTCCGCCCCCGAATCTGTCGACTTCCTGTACACAACATTGGGCATACCGTTCACGACGTCGTCTCCAGACTCTATGCCTGCCGTCCGCGAATCTGAGGGTAAACCTGGATTCATCGCTAAAGACGACTCGATTCCAGTCTCTCTGGGTCCATCGGAGGTGACGTTGGGCCCACAGCAGACGTTGACGTTGATGAAACGGCGTCAATATTGGCCCACGATATGGACGTCGAGAATGGAGATTGGCAGCCCGCAACCAATTTCGAATGGTCTGTGAGGACAGTCGACCTCTAAAAATCTCAGCCCTGGTTCGTGTTGCCAGCAGAAATTTGTCACGTAGGTGACGTAGGACGATTTGACGTTCTTCTGCTCGTGACGTCATACGTGGACGACCCGACCTCAGAAGTGGTGCCAGTTTGTTGTAGACAGTACGACGGCTGCATCCCATTGCTCTTGCGACGTCAATAACTGATCTTCCTGCTCGCAACATGCCAACGACACGTTCACGTTGCACATTTGACCATCGTGACATTTCAAGTACCGTTAGAACTGTGGTTTAAAAGTGTTTTTTCAATTCTTGAGGCCAATGCAAACACGTGCATATGAAGTAAACTTCGATGCGAAGATCACGTGATCGACTGCACGTGCAAAACCTGATTTGGCACTAACGTCATTTGCATGACGAATCGATGGGTTTGAGTGGGTTTTGCTAACGTTTTTCTAGAGTGGAAAGAAAGGGATCCCATTTCGGATACATAGATGTATCATCAGAGAAAAATTATTCATTCAAGTTTCTTTTTTGACTCAGTATAGTTTTAACTCATTTTGTGATACTCTAGTAATTTTATTGTCCTTCGTTGACAGGGTTTTATATAGTTTATGTATGCATTATGATATAGTCATGATATGGCTTAAATATTGCCGATGTGACTTTGACTCACTCACTTTGATAGCTCAATAACTACTCGTGCATACGGACGGACAGATTAGACACAAATTCTCTCATCAAGTTGGACTTTAAGTAACTGTCAGATCATTTGTTCTGTCAACTTTGTCATCTTCTGATGACTCTTGTTTTGTGACGGAAGGTATGTTTGTTTCAACTTAAGCCGGATACAGTTTGTGCCTGGCGACCAGCTGGAGTAACAGTGACAAACATCCATTCGTCACGAAGTCAATATTTCTCCTGTGCCCAGTCGGTTCAGGATTCAGGACGGACCATGAGGAGGGTTCGCGAAGCTTTCACTAGAAGTATGTTGAACATCTTAATTGTGTAATGTGTAATTGTATATCAGCTGATATTCAGTGGTATTAAAACGCATGACGCACTGAAGATGAATGAATAACTAAACAAATATACATTGAAACACACAGCTTAAGGTTTACAACCACGATACGTCCTAACTCTAGCAGCAGCAGTACGTAACAGGTCCTGTTATACATGTCTGTGCAGTCTCAAATGCTGTAAAGTCAATACCGAATATATCGTTCTTGAATACGGAATTATGTTGAGAGCTAGCAAGCAAGCGATGTTTACGGCCATGTAAAAGGCACTAGATCGCTCTCACCCAGATCAACATAGGTGCGGCAAGGGTTCTAGAAGTAATCACCTTTTAAAACATGACTACTACTTATGTAGTGTTCTGAAAATGATGTAGGAAGGTACCTCTTTTTACTATGGCTACGAGACAAATTTATGAGAACTTCATTCACATGCTGCCATTTACAATATTCTCTACCTCTATTCTGCAACATAACATGATTTTCTACATATACGTATCTGTAAGTTAGGGGTCGAGGGGCGTGTTAGATGGTCAAGAATGGTGAAAGGGTGTGATTATGTATTCACTTGTTAAATTAGTCCCTGTATTCCAGTTCTACCAATCGTTTCACAGGACTCACAGTAACAGTTTATACAAGCAACATTTTTTATGCTGGCACGGACTCGGGCTTGTTTTTGCGGGTGCAGGGTCGGACCGGACGTGACAGTGAAAAGCAACTCTCTGGGTCGTTTGAAAGAAATGATGTTGATAGGACTGTTATGGACGTTGGGGATATAGGTCGACTCTATGAAGTGAGGTGTGTTAACTGATTTTTACACTTTCTCAGTGGGAGCCGGGGCAATTTATACTTATCCGGGGGTTAGTCTAAATTTAAAATTTGTTACATTTTGCCACTTTCTAAATAGCATTGTGGATTCATAGCTTTCGGTCGTGGGAGTAATACCAATTTACACTCATCGGAGGCGTACGCAGTCAAGATAACCAGTTGTCCGACTTCCAATTTTTTGGAAGCTGCGGTGGCTGAGTTCGTTGAGTGGCTGGCTTTGTGTGATGGCAATTAGGTGCCTGAATCTGAGGGTGTGGGTTCGAATCCCGGATGGTACTCAACAACAAAAAGTACTAGAATCTGTACTTTACTGAGAAAGTGTAATCCCAAATATAACATTTGTTACATTTAACCACTTTCTAAATGGCAATGCGTATTTTTTATTTATGAACAATGTTTAATGTTAAAAGTGTTTAATAATGTGCCTAAATCTGTTATTGGTAAAATGTTGCGATGAATACATTTAACGATATTGCAGAATACGAACTATCTGAGTTGGTTTAATTAGGATAATTGTATGTACTTTTCATGGGCATATTTTAATTGATACACTTAATGCAGGTAAACTTTACTTGTTACAGAATACGCTCAGACGACGGAGGTTTCGGTTCCGGTTGGCATCTTAATAGGGTCAGCATCTCCTGCTTGACTGTGTTGAATTCTCCAGGATAAATATTTCAATGTTAAAACTGTAAAGGGTCTTTTTAATACTGTTCATTTTCATTTAATTCTTGTTTTTTAAAAAGAAAGTGATTTACTTAATGAATTTTGATTAATATGTTCTGTAGATAGATGTATTTTAGGGTTAAAGTAGTGTAAAATTATTGTCCTCCTGAGGAGGGTACGTAAGTCCCAAACCATTCAAAGTAATCCTAAACCTACTACCATTTTAATCGTAGAATATATGTTCGTTTAATTTGTGGCTAGATTATCTAACATTGCTAATAGCTGAAGGGATGGTGTAAATACAGCTAGGGTCCATGCAGGAAGCAAATGTACTGTAAGTCCCCATGGTCCCTAGTATGTTGATCTACCTTCAGTTGTTGGCGATCTATAGCCTGTTTGTACCTTGTATTGTTATCTATAGTTAAACCGTTTTAGATTTAATTACTAGTTTTAAATTCGAAACTGTGATAATCTAGTTATTTTACTGTCCTTCGTTGACAGGTTTTTACAGTTGAACATTAATTACTATGTAAAAATTTAATTGTTCTCGTCACGATATGGCTGAAATATTGCCGATGTGACGATAAATTTTAACTCACTCACTCACTTAATAGGGTCAGTGAGTTCAAGCATCATCACGACGATAGACTGGTCTACAAACCCATAACTGAGTGTTTCATAATAATTATATAATGTACATCTCTGCCTAACAGCATAACTGTATCTATGCAATGTACAACTTCCAGCATGTTAGAACAATCTTGTGAAAGATATAAGTCTATAAATGCCCCAGAAGCGTGGGTGTTAAAGGCACAGGTATCAAAAGAACCAACTTTGTATGCATATTACGTGTGTGTGTGTGTGTGTGTGTGTGTGTGTGTGCGCGCGCGCACCGGCGTGTGTGTGCGTGTGTGATGTGAGATGGGGGTTACCAGTAGGACAAGTCGTGCTTATCAAGGTCACATCTTCTGACATCACTAATACTCAGTGATCCAGTCATATACCTGTCACTATTATTAATCTGGATGACTCTTTTTGGCAGATAACTGAGACTGGTTATTCTCTGGCATTGACATGTGGTATTTATGAACAATGTTTATTCCTGTGGTTGTAGATTGAAATCCATGAAGATGACAGTACAGTTGTATTTCAATGCAACTGTTGGATTGGCGGAGGGGACCCGCTGGAGAGAACTATCAGTGTCAAGAGTGGTAAGTGGTATCAGATAGTCTTAATAATGACTTTTTGTGAAAAATATAAGCAAGATATTGTTTTACACCCTTTCTGATTGTATCACAGAGTGTGCAAACATCGAGTACTGTCGCAGTCAACGGTGCATTACCTGCGCAGCATGCCTTCCTTCAGATTCAGATTCAAGCTACTTTTATGCGCTCAGCAGTTCCAAAAGACAGTGTTATCGTAAGTACTCCAACCGACATATGGAACAATTTGCATATAGAAAAAGCATTGTTTTACTTTCACTAAGTGCGCACATAATTACATAGAATGGTTACATCCAAGAATAACAGTCCAGCGATGGTAGATTACTCTCTTTTAATGTGTACGGTTCTCAGTGTCCTTCCGTTAAACAGTTTCCCTTAATTTAAATTACTTGTGTACGGTGTCAAGCCATAATAAGTGTCATCATGATACATATTATTAGAATACTTTAAATACTAAATTGGGAGGGGATCAAACAGACTACCCTCCTACACATTATTAGTGCGTTCAAAACTTGATTAGGGCTCCATTGTATATGGTGGAGCCCGCAAAGGCAGTCTTAAAATTCTTGATTCTGTCCACCACCAAGGTCTAAAACTTTGTCTTGGATCCTTTAGAACTTCTCCCGTTGACAGTCTCTACGTCGAGGCCGATGAGCCATCTCTTATACAACGCCGTATAAAACTATCTTTACGATATATTACAAAACAATATTCTAACGAATGGAACCCTGCATATAACTGTGTGTTCAATCCCCTCTATGAGGATTTATAATATAAGAAGTCTTCTCTTGTTCCGCCTCTAGGGCTAAGAATTAAACCATTTATGTCGGCTGCCGGCATTGAGCTGGAAGATATATCACCTTCCCGTCATCTTTCTTCTCCTCCTTGGCAATTAGTGAGGCCACAAGCTGACCTCACACTGACAAAGTGAGTGAGTGAGTGAGTTATTATTTAACGTCACGTCGGCAATATTTCAGCGATATCGTGACGAGAACAATTGACATTGATATAGAATATATATAGTTATTATAAAAACCTGCCGACGAAGGACAGTAAAAATACTAGATAATCACAGATGTCAATATAAAACTAGCGAACAAAGCTAAAATATTCCAATTAAAGAAGACAATACAATGTAAAAATGGGCTATAGATCGCCAACAACTGAAGGTAGATCACCATACTAAGGCCCATGGGGATTATCTATTAAAAAGTAATAAAATACATACAAATCCATATTTGCAGATGGGTCCAAGGATAGTACCGCAGTTGCTTGTGCCACTGGCATTGGATCCAGAACAATATCTTCTCGATTACCAGATCACAGCTCAATTGTCACAGCTGAAGCCAACGCCATATTGACAGCCTTAAAATATATTAATTAACACCCAAAAGACAAACAATATATCATCTTTTCAGATTCTCTTTCTTGCCTTCATGCTATAAAAAATCGCTCTTGTAAACATCCACTTTTAATCGAAATAAATGAATTGTATAATGATCTTGCGACTGGCCAATTCGACATCGTCCTCTGTGGTTACCCAGCCATGTTGGAATCTCTGGTTACAATGGCCAATCTTGCTGCCGAGGCAACGCTCAACAAATCTGTGACACAATTTCTCATTCCATACTCCGATTACAAAGCTACCATTAGATTATATAACCGTGATCTTAAGCAAATGGAGTGGGGCACCCAGGTAGGCATCAATAAACTACCACAATGCAACTACCATCGGATACACCTACTTGGGTAGTCAGTCCAGATTTATACAATTCAATGATTTCAATTAAAAGTGAATGTTTACCACACAAATGTTTAATAGCCTGAAGGCACGAACGAGAGTCAGAAATCACAATTTGACAGCGATTCTGAACACACTCTTATGATATATGTGCAATTGCTGAGATTTCATATGAGTATGGAAAGGGATTTTGTCACCTTTCAATGATAAAGCGAAGGGTTATTTGTTTTAAACATAGTAGAAGCTGAGGAAGAATATGTTTCAGTGAATCTGACTTCCAACTACCTCTGTCTATTCAGGATGCCAAGTCATTGCAAACTGTGAAAAGATGGAGGAGTGTGGTTGCAATGACTGCCAAGTGTGCTCAAGATGTGAGGGCGTTATGGTGGAAGAATCAGGAATGCGAGCTTATGCCATTTCGGCTGACAGAAAATACTGTAGAAGTGAGTACGTTTAGAAAAAGCGAGCAATCTAAGGTCACTTACAGTATCATTCTGATGAGGAAATGGTAGACCCTATATTTGTAGTAAAGGGTATATGTACTGGTAATACAAATTGTTTTAAGTGAGTATGAGTAAGTGAGTTAGTTAATATTTAACGTCACCTCGGGAATACTTCAGACATATTTTTGAGTGAGTGAGTGAACAAGGTCATACGTTGCTTTTGCCAACCGCTATGCTGCAGACAACCCGAAATGGATCATGGTGAGTATGTAGCAAACAAAACTGGGTCTTTGACTGATGAGTGATTTTTTTTATCCCATGGGCCTATCCCATCCCTTACAACTGATTACAAAGCAAGAGGAATACGATAAGATAATCTGTCTATCCGAACTTCAGAGGCATGTTCATGGCGTCCTGACAGCACGTGGTGTTACCCGGGGACCTGCCAGGAGGAACTGGCCAGTAACTGCATCTGCTCTCTTGGATTCAGTGGTTCAAACTGCCAGAACAGTAAGTTTACTTCACAATTATTACACTTCTTACTTCCAGGCCTCGATTCATTATCCATACCTAAAGTACAAATTGGTGGTGTACTATACATAATGAGTTACTTATTTTGGTAAATATAGACAAACACAAATTTTTCACTGATTGTATACTGTTTAGTAGGTAGCATTAGACACTCAGTGATTGTGACAACGTTGAAAACTTAAACTACTTTTAACAATACCATGATTTGTCACCAGTGGTTTGACTGTTTTCACTATTCAACCCTTCAGTTGACACACCACCCGTGATATTATGGAACAGAATTGTTGTACATGGCCAGGGTAAAGAAACAGCCGAGGCTCCAGTCGACCCGAACAACTCTGACGTCCAGGAAGACTCGTGGACAAACCTGAAGAACATTCACAATATCAGCTATGATTTTCACACAAGCTTCATCCCTTCTGAACTGCCGCCAAGCAGGCATAACTTCATAGATGGTTACAAAGTCGGAATAGTACAGGCAAAAGTGACACTAATCATTTTCAAAGGTACACCGTGAACTATTTAGACAACAAGAAAAACTTGACTTTCAGAAAAAAACCTCGGGGGTCAGAATTGATTTGATATTTTTGTATGAGCCACTTAACGTTAAACCCAATGTCTTTAAACCCCTTCTTCTGTTTCAGCACTCCTTAGACATGCTTACCCTTATCGGAAGCATCCTGTGTCACCACTTATTTTCAATGGTCCATATTCGTTTCGACCCGTGAAGGTCCGGGTTAGAATTGATCTTCAGTAACCCATGCTTCTCTTAAGAGGCGACTAACGGGATCAGGTGGTCAGGCTTGCTGAATTGGTTGGCACATGTCATCGCATACCAAGTGCGTAGATCGTGCTCATGTTGTTGATCACTGGATTGCCTGGTTCAGACTCGATTATTTACAGACCGCCGCCATGTGGCTGGAATATTGCTCAGTGCGGCGTAAAATTAAACTCATTCACTCACTCATATTCGTTTCACAGTTGCCATGTTAAACTGAACTGGTTCAATACTTTGCAATTACTTCTCTGATATATATTTGGCGTTGCTCCTGAAAGAGGTAAAGGTCATCAAGGCATGGGATGATCACAAATCAAAACCTTATATTACACCACAAAGAATATTAGCTTTGTGTTGTATAGGGAGTTACAGCCGATAAAACTGAATGAGATCTTACATTTTCTTCTTTTTATTACAGAAATGATTACCTCTTTCTCAACGTCCATTGACTGTCGTGATGTTTCTAGGCTTGACCCACAAAGAGGCATCTTCAAATGCAGTGGAGATGTCAATGTGACAAATATCTTGACTTCATCGGAGCTAATAACAGGGAATGTGTAAGACAAACTTGCCTATTACAAATATATTGCTTTCGAATGTCACAGTGTGTTTTCATCTGCGTAATGCTTATCAGGTTCCCACAAGAATGGATATGCTGTGTGAATCATTTTTGTGTTGTTGCATTTAAGTGCTAACAAAGAACTTGATTCTTGTATTAATCAGTGTTTGTTACAGACTGCAGTTTCAGTTCGTCACCTCAAACGGCGGGTTTGTGAAGATCAAGGACATGGAGAAGAACACTGTGCAGACACACTACTATGTTGGTCGGTCGAAGACAGCAACATTGAGAATAGGTATCGACTATGTGAGTCCATATCACTGCATTGCAGCTCGGGGATGTTCTGCTGATATGCTCATTGTTGGCAAGACAAGTATGCAGGTGAGAATATGGTTTACATAGATGACACATCCATTTTGTTCCACAAGACATACATACGATATCATTGTAACTAATTGCAGACACCTGAAGATGAGGGTTAGAATTGGTCTTTAACCCATGCTTGTCGTAAGAGGCGACAGGCGGGTTCGGGTGGTCAGGCTCGATGACTTGGTTGATGCTTGCTATTGCATCCCAATTGCATACCCAAAGTAAATCGATGCTCATGCTGTTGATTACTGGACTGTCTGGTCCAGCCTGATTATTTAAAGACCGCCTTCATACAGCTGGAATATTGTTGAGTGTGGCATTAAACAACAACAAACAAAACTGTTTTAATCCTGATTCTACCAAAGACACAATTTGCAGTTGAAAACAGTTTCAAAACTCTGCAGTGGTGAATTAACAAATGTAGTATCGCATGGAAAACATGCATTACGCAGATGGTACAGTAGGTATATGTAGTTGGCATTATATGATTCGGTATAAGCTGATGTGTTGTCTTCATTGTTTACAGCCATCATTTAACGTTCAGTGGAATGGGTGGAGAGACGACACATCTGGCATACGGTCATTTGAATTCCAAGTATTTGAAATGGAGTTTATCGTCAGTAAAGATGGTCTTAGGATGAAAAATAGAAAACTCATACAAAGGTTCAATTCCACTCAGGTGAGATACATGGTAATGAAATAATATATTCAGTTTGATTTTTTTAAGAGCCTTAGTCAATATCTTCGCAAAACAGGCTTTTGGTATCTTGATGGAGAATTGGTCTAGTTATTTCGTTTTAGAATACAATATTACAACAATATTAAATTTTCCAAAAATGAACATGATTTACTTTACTTTTGTGTCAGAACACTGGCAGACTGCACCTCAATGACAAGGGGATATTCTCAGTGGAGATTACTGCGATTGACAAAGCTAGAAACCTAAAGAGTGCCAGAAGAATCATGATCCATGATGGAGAATCCCATGTAGGGACGAAACCAAACACCGTGTTACGTGCGACGTCAGCGGCAGAGATATCTTCATGGGAGTGGCAATGGACATCGGACTCGGTTACCATCGACTGGAACCATCGCTACATCAACACGCTACACCACAGTAACAATTGGTTGGAGAGGGTATTGCCAGTTCCTAATATTGATGTGAAGTATGATGACCAAGGGTACAGCCGAGGTGTGGATCAGATACCCAATGTACAAGGTTGTGATTTCGAGATCGACATTTTCTCAAGTCTCTTTTCAGAATATTAAAGTCTGTGTTTTTGTCATATGTTTGAGAAAACGTATGCAAGTACTTTCAACTGTCAAAAGTCCCCCCCCCTGTATTGTCCTAATTTGTAAGAGATATATACTAGTTTTATTTTTTGAGCTTGTGATAATCCAGTTGGTTTTACTCTCCTTCGTTGACAGACGTTTAGTGAATTACATTTACATGTATTTATGGTAAAGTTAAAAATGGCTGAAATATTGTCGATGTGAGTTGAAATTTTAACTGACTGACTCATTCACTCACTCACTCAAACGTCCCCCTTGTTAGTTTGACTGTATTGTTGTTTATATCATTAAAATAGGTCTACTAACTCACTCACTCAATGAAACGGCTAATTCACAGATGTCATCTTCATCATAGATGTTGACTGAAGACCAAGCATAAAAAATGTTATCATTGACTATTGTCCTTCTCAGGAATTGTTGCCGTAAAATATGCTTACAAAGTGGACCACAAGGGAGGAACATCAATAGGAACGGTTCCAGATGACCCCCACTTCAGCAGCCTCTACTTAAACCAGTCCCACACAATCTCGCCCACTCTGGTTGACGGAGACACATTCCGCTACTGGATCAGGGCTTATGACATCCGTGAGGAGTATCTGGAGGAGAGAGTGACCGTCCACATTGACACATCACCCCCTATCATTGAGAACCTGTGGCTGACTCGGGAGGACAGGCTCAATGTCAGTGTACACAACGTAGATGAATTTAACCAAATGGTGTAAGTAATGTTGACAGTCAACTGTGGGATACATGGGTATGCTTAGTGGGAATAGAATATCAGCCATCACATAGCAAATGCTGAGAGTATTTCAGAATTAATCAGTCTTGAAATTGTTACACTGACATACAACGATCCTGAAGATGCCTTATTTATACACTGTGGCCAACGGTTAACATTACAAACGTCCCCAGCAAATATACCAGACCGTACCATTAAGTTGTTTTTAATACTATCCTTTCCAGGCAACCGGTTGTGTATAAGACAGTTCAACGAACTATATAACCCTCTGTGTAATTTGCAGGATCGAATGGGTGAGTTATGATGACCACAGTGGTCTGGAGACAGTTGCCTGGCGACTATTTGATAATTACACAGGTGAGGATCTCGTCCATGGTGTTGAGCACGTTTCTCCGCAAGGCAAAGTACAGGTAAATACTTTCGTCTCCAGTTTTCAAATACTAGTATTAAGTTGATATCATTAATGTGGAATTGTGGGCGAACTGGCTAAAGCGCCAGGCTAGTGATCCAGCGAACTTGAGGTAACGGGATCGAGCCCACCTGTGACCGGGTGTAAAAGCCTTGGAGTCAACTTTGTGTGCAGACTCTTTCAGTGTTGTCACAACCCCTAGTGTACAGTACACAACCCTGTGCACTTAAAAGAACCAACAAATCCGTTGGTATATGACCAGATGGTGGCCACATGAATACGTGCCAACACCTAGTTGCGGGTACAGCAACGTGCAGTTAACATGGACAAAGTACTGTGACTATGTGTCCCAGTCTACCCAGCTGTGAATGGGTACCTCGTAAGGATGGAATGCCCCATTAACTCGGTGCGCCTAGTGGCTGCAAGAGTTGTATGGTCCCCAGGGAGTTGAGATTGACAATACGATGTGCCGTTGAGATTGACATCCAGTGAACGAGGGAAAAACAAAGCGCCTTTGAGCAGCTGAGCTGAGCTGGATATCGGCGCTATACAAATGTTAGTATGTATGTATGTAATTTAGGAGCACCTTGATATATCTTCTTTTTTTAAATGGCCTTCAGGACTTGCTGGAATGTGAAAGTGAATACCAGACTAGACCCAGGGGCCCTCACTGTTACTGCACTCCTGGAGTTGGATGTTACCATAGACATTTCCAGATCAAGCCCAGGATTGTATCAGCCAACATGTCAGAAGGAGGAATCTTCCATGACAAGGACAAAGGGGTTCATGACTCGGATTACTATCTTGAAGTTACCGTGATGAATCATGCCAAACTCACAACAACTCTAGATTTTAAGGTTTGTAAAACATGTTTGTTAACATACAAATGATGTATTTGAGCCCCTTTGAAGTATGTTGTGTCATGCTGTTAATCTGTAATATTTGATCAGGTGACAATTGACTCCAGTCCCCCTCACACTGGTTCTGTTCACGACGGTCAAAGGGGCCACTCTGAAATTGACTACCAAGACAGTAAGCAGCTCCATGCCCACTGGGAGGGATTCTTTGACAGAGAAAGCGGAGTCAAGTTTTATCAGTACGGATATGCTGATCATTGTCTTGAGATAAGGGATTTCGGCCTTGATTTGTCATCACCCAATGTAAGTATGAAAGAAACTGTTTGTCTCGTAAGAAACATACAACGTTGGAGCACTTTTGTAATAGAAATATATTTCACAATGCAACAATATTGTTTCCATGGAATAGTTAGTCTCTGTCAACAGGTTGCTGAGTATAGTGTAAAACCTGACTGTTCACTAATTCCACACAGGTGACCGAGACGTCCTCAACCCATGCTTCCTGGACAGCCCCTTCTGAAGGCAAGTTCTATATCACAGTAGTCGCCTTCAACCGAGCTCTGGACTCATCCCTTCCAGTGTGTTCTGATGGAGTAACCGTGGATCAGACACCACCGTCTCTTGCCCAGATTGCAGTCCTCAACTCCCGCACTACTGAAGGTCTGGTGACAAATGGCGAGGAAGTGTGGCTCGTCACTGCAGACAGGAGGAGGAGTCGGATTGAAGACCCCGATAGTGTTTGCAGGTATGTTATTACAAGGCTTCAACCTCAAAACAAAATACAAATAAAATATACATGTTAGAAAACGTTTGAATAAAATTACACGTGTTATTGATCGAATGTTTGTATGTAGTGTACCATGCCAATCTAGAAGTCTATATTTGCAGAATGCGGGCAGCAGTGACAAGCAATCACAGCTTATCTCTACTTCCCCTTCATAAACTTCTGAATGGTTCAACTGTAACCCACAAAGCATTATCCTGCAGTCAGCATCAAGCCTTCATGCTCAGCTCCGTCAATCAGTTTTATATGTCACAGAAACATCACGTGAGTTATAATCTAAAATGACAGATTCACCGTACAATCAAGTAGTTTCAATATTCAGTTCGTATATATTACATATATATTGGGTTCATATTACTCTGCGTGATTTTGCCTCCAGCTCTATGTCAACTGGACTAGCAGTGATGCCGAGAGTGGTATCTATGACTATCAGCTGGGACTTATGTCTGATGCATCTCGTGAAGCAGCTCCAGACATCCTTCCCTACACATCCACGCACCACCATCCTCACTATGAAGGATACCACCCGCAACTCAGTGAAGGGCAGCAGGTCTATGTAGCAGTAAAGTCTATAAATAAAGCTGCATTACATGTCACTGAGGTACGTCAGATACACGCTTACGTGTGAGATTTCTACAAAATGATGCTTTCTAAATAGAAAGACAAATAACAAGAGTAGTGATAAGCTCAATAAGACATACATATCCATGTGCAAGTCTGATTATATCAACGTAGGTTTGCTCATAAAAACGGAAATGGAGGTGCAAAAATAAACAATGTCACATGGAGTCAGAACAAGATTTTTTAAAGTTTCTTGCTGTTTTTTATACAAAGCAGCTGCCAACCCACTCTCACTTATTTGTGCAGGTCTTGGGTCCTATAACAGTGTACATTCAGGCGCCAGGGTTCACAGCACCAATCACTGTTGGCTTACACGAAAACCACCTTGTCGCCACGTGGACAGCTGGTTCATTCACAGATGTCAAGCATGACTGTCTGACCTATGAATTTGCTGTTGGTGCGTATCTGTTGAATGGAGTTATGAGAAATTATGCTACATTAGTTTTACTTATCAGAATGGTTTTAGGATTCAAACATGCAGTTGTAGAAAGTATGGTCTATGTGCAAATCTTGAATAATCATTTGATGAGTGTTGGTCAAGTTTTATCCGCCATCATAATCTATATAGACACCAATAGTACAATATGTAAACATTGGGACTTTCCATTTGACATTAAACTCTAAAATACAGGAATGCAACTAAACACAGAAAATTAACTTCTTTAAGTGACATTTAGACATTGGTATGATGAAGAGGAACACCTTTTTCTGATAGACAACTTCTGTATTGTAACAATGTGCTTGATAACGGTGTTAACATCTACACCGAAGCGTTGCATCTATTACAATAAATAATTGTCTATCCACAACAAGTGTTCCTCCTCAGAAACGTATTTTAACAATTGTTGCAATATGTGTTGTCTTCAGGTTCTTCCCGGGGTGGCTCCGACATCTTCCCCTTCCTCCCTCTCCTGTCTGGAGGAGGATGTTCTGTTTCCACGCCACCAGCATGTACGGCTGTCGCCACCAGCGACCTTCACTGGGATCTACATCACGCACAAACCTACTATATATCGGTGAAAGTGACCAACATTGTTGGACTGTGGACAATTGGTGTGTCGGACCCTTATGTCCATGATGTCATACCGCCGTCTCGGGGAGTCGTTTTTGATATCTGTCCACAGAATGAACAAGAACTTTTTGACATAACGGTAAATCAACCTGTGTCATATAGGTTAAATATCTGCACTGTATTTTACACAAATAGAGAAAATAATTATTTATTTCAGTTGGAAACCACATCAAGACATTCTGTAGTCGCTTCAATGGTTGCTTTTGATATTTTTCGTATCTTGTTTCTTTTCAGGACTTCGTGGATTCCGATCTCCAGTTATCCACCACCACGCTTGAAACAAAATGGTTTGGGTTTGACGATGGCCGGTCTGGGGTCAAGTACAGCGTCTGTATTGGAACAACTCCTGGAATGCAAAACGTCCGCGCCTATGCAGATGTTGAAGAATCCATGTCACACAAGTTTAACAACTTGATACTTAATGTGAACACTGTAAGTGAACATATACAGACCTGTTATTGGATATCAGATAGCACAGATTACAGGTGACCCGATTTACATAAGACAATATTGTAGTACTTTAAGTTGCAAAATGAGATAGCATGTATTTGTGGTTTGTTCTACTTCTAGGTTTACTATGTGACAGTAAAGGCATGGACACCTGCTGGAGAAATCAGTCAGTCATCGGATGGGGTCAGGATCATCAGATACAATGAAGATGTAGGTGGCCATGTCACAGTGAGAGATGGAGACAGATGTTCAAATGGTAGGATGGAATAGTGTATAAAAGCCTGTTTATCGGAACACAATTTGGACCAGATTATTTTTTCTAAGCGACGTAAATACTTTGATTAGTGAGACTTCAGATGCTATATTATTTTCCATCCAGAACTTCACCGTCAGACAACAAACAAGACTAGCATACGGCATGCACCTGTAAGTATACCAGACCTCCTCCTCTGTAAGTGTGTCACGAGAACCTACTGATGATGCATGTATTTCACATATAATTACATCATTGAATATGAAGTTGTCGGATGACGACGATTGCATACTGTTGCAAATATGTATACGGGCTACTTCTCGTCTATGTTTACTTTTTGATGTTGTATCTTACACTCTGGCATCAGTGTGTTCCTGATCCGATCTACCAAGCGTCCACATCCGTGTATGCAGCCTACTGGGAAGTGACTGGTTTCAACGTTTCTTACACTGATGTCCAGATATTTATTGAAAGAAAGTTCCCTGGATCAGGTATATAATCTTATCATTACAGACCATAATACACTTTTGTTGTACTAACTTTTATTTTGATATGAGCCATCTGGTAGGGGTTAATTTTAAAGGAGATAATCTGACATAATGTATGATACTGATTGATGTAGGTCTTGTTATAAAATTGTATGTTCAGATAAACAACAACTGAGAACACTGAAACATCTTGTAGCTACGGCAATACAATCTATGAATTAAGGAAGTCATTTTGGAAATCAAACAAAATGTCGAATTAGTTTGAAAGACTATTGTTCAAACATATTCCTTTCAGATTGTCCAGTATCA